TGTGTGTGTGCGTGTGTGCCTGAACACGCGTTTGTTTTAAGCAAATTATTCCTCCGCCGTGCTTCCCCTTCACTCTCCGTTTGTTTGTTTTTTTTTTCCTTCTCTTCCTATTTCGGACCGTTGAATTTTTTTTTTTTTTTCGGGGAGTTTTTCCTGATAAAAAAATTATGCATTTAATAAATTTCCCCCCCCCCAAAAAAAAAAAAAAACAACTTTCTAAAATTTTCTCCATTTTGATTCGTTTTTCCCTTTTCCCCCCCCCCCTTTTTTTTTTTTATTTAATTTAATTTAATTTAATTTAATTTTTTTTTATTCTTTTTCGTTCGAATGCAATTAATTATTTATGTAATTTTTTTTTTTTTTTTTTTTAAACTCGGGATGAATGTAAGTTATCATTATTATTATCATTATTATTATCATTATTATTATTATTATTACTATTATTATTATTAGCAGTATTATTATTAGGAGCATTGCGTTGAAATTTTTATTTTATTTATTCAAATTATTGTTATTGTTTTTTTTTTTTCTATTTACTTTTTCATACATTTCCGCTTTTCACTTTCTCTAACTCTCTCTTTCTCTTTTTCCGACTTCCGTTTTTTAAAAATAAATAAAATTTGTTCAGGAAAAAAATTAGTAATAATAATAATAATAATGATAATAATTTATTAAAAAAAATTACTTTTGTTAATTTATACAATAATTTTTCTTTTTTTTTTTTTTTTAAATAATTTTTATAATGGAAAAAATTTTCTTTCGCTTTTAAGCATTAGTTATTATTATTATTATTATTATTATCATCATCATTTTCGTCGGCTTCCTATTCTTCGTCGCCATTATTATTTTTATATCTTTTTTTTTTTTTTTTATTTAAAATTTTATTTACGATTCATTAAACATTTCAGTTTTAATTTTTTTTTTTTTCTTTTTTCTTTTTTCTTTTTACTTTCTTAATGAATTAATAATGGAACGATAAAATAATTTTGTTATTAATATTATTATTATTATTATTATTACGGAAAGTTCTGGAAAATTTGATGGTTTTTTGTTTTTGTACAGGAATAAAACGAAGTTTGTGTGTGTTCAGACTTTTGTGTGTGCAGGTCGTTTTTTATTGTTTTTTTTCTTTTTCTTTTTTCCCGGTAGCTTAACGTTTTGTTCAGAATAGTGGATGGAAAATGATATAAAAAATTTTACGATGGTCAATTTTACGTAGCGGAAAAAACGAAGGAACGAACGAACGAACGAACGAACGATGGAACCTTTTGGAAAAATTTATATTTGCGGTTAAACGAGATTTAAATGATGAGAGAAAGTGAAAGAAAGGTTAGGTCAAAGGTTATGGCAAAGGATTTTATATAAAATTTAGTTGTTACATTTCAATTCGAATGGAATTTAAAATTGAAATTTTCTTCCGATTTCTTTTATTTAACATCGCCATCGCCATCGCCATCCCTTTTACGCGTTTGTTTACTTCATTCTATTGACACGTTTTAATTACGCGGCATTATTCTCTTTCTCTTTTTCTCTCACTCAATTTTTACCCGTTTTCTCTTTCAAATTTTCATTTCCGACGGTTTAATTTTTGTGTTTGTTAATAGGCGATTGTTTGCGTGACGAAAGTTTAAAATCGATCGATTTTTAACGACGGTTTTTGACACGATATTATTATTATTATTATTAAGTTTTTCCTTAATTTTCGGTTCGATTTAGAATTTAAGAAAGTTAAAAGAAAATCTCGTATCCAGATGACGGCAAACGGGATTTAATACAACGAACTGGAAAATAATAATAATAAGTTTTTTTTTTTTTAAAAAAAGTATTTAACTCGCGTAACGTTTCCGGAAATGAGTTAAACTTCCGGGGAAATCGTTTTTTTTGTAAAGAGAAAAGTAGGAGGAAAAAGCGGAAATAATAATTACTTAAAACCGGAAATGAAATGATGTTAAAACTTCGTGGTTAAAATTTTTAACGCAGTAAAGTTTGCTGGAAATGCAGGGAACGCAAAAAAGTGCCGAGTAATAATCGGAAAATAACATTTCGAAGTTTTCCCGGGGAAAAAAAAATGAAAATAAAATAAATATTGAAAATTGGTCGGAAACACAGCGAAGGTTTTTTTTTTTAAGTATTGGAGAGGAAAATGTTGGGGAAAAAAATCTAACCCGAAAAAGGTTAAAACGTTGACCTTAAGGTTAAGTAAGAAAAGAAAAAAAAGTCGTCGCACGGATTTAAATTCATAAAAAAAAAATTGTTATTATCAATAATACCGACGGTTACGCCTTTTTTTTTCTTTCTTTCTTTCTTTCTTTTTCTCTTTCTTTTCTTCATCCTTTTTTTCTATCGACCAAAACCCCCCCTCCTCCGAGTTGGAAAACTTCTCCTTTTCGGTTCTTTTTTGCATATTTTAGAAAAGGGTTTGATTGGTTGCGGTTTATTTTCAACCGAACCCCCAAAGAGAATGATTGACGTGAAAAATACCTGGTTTTTTTAAAAATTTTTTATATAAAACTCCAAAAGTAGAAGAAGAAAAAAAAGAAAATGGGAAAAATTTGAACTTTTATTTCCGGTTTTATTTAAATAAAAAAAAAAGAAGAAAAAGAGAAAAAAAAATTTAATTATCGAAAATGTGAATTTGTTTAACCAAATTATCAAATTCCGTGATTGAAAAAAAAAAAAAAAACAACAACAAAACAACAACAAACAAAACAACAACAACCGGAAATTAAAACAATACAAACAATACGATAACGATAATGACTGAAAAACTTTTAATAAAGGTTCGAAGGAAATTTGTTCGTTCGTTCGTTCAAACATTCGTTATAACAACCAATGAGAGAACAAAAAAAGAAAAAAATTATTATTTATTAATTATGAATAAATTTTCGTTTTAAGGGGTGGGGGGTTAAATTATTTCAAATTTAAAATTTTTTGATTCGATTTTATTTTTAAACAATTGGAATAAATTATTTATTAATTAATAAACGCGACGATAATCTCTGTCTCTCTCTTTCTCTCTCCCCGAACGTTTAATAAATTTTGTATATAACAACGCGTTTCCAAAAATACAAAAAAAAAAAAAAACGAGAGAAAACAAGAAAGGAACGTTCGGAAAATTTAATTTCTTTTTCCGTTTTGTTTTCCTTTGTTTCGATTAAGAATGTGTCGTCGTGAACGTCGAGGAACGTTTTCTGCTACCACGTTAAGGGTGTACGTTTACGTTCGAATCGATTTTTTTTTTCTTATCAATTTTTTTATTAAATGCTTCGCTTTTGTTCGTTTGTTTGTTTGTTAATTACGTTTCGCGTGACAAACGATTTATTTGTACGTATTGTTAATTTTGTACGAGGAGGAGTTCAAACCCTACACCAGTCTGCACGCGGTAAACCCTCTCAAAGAGAGAGAGAAAGAGTGAAAAGAGCTTTTTGAGCTTTTATATTAATTGACAGACAGTAATGATGATGATGATGATGATGGTGAATGCGGAAAAGTGCAAGTCGTTGATTGGAAACAAAGGGAAAATCGTTTTCGAGTGGTCATCGTAAGGGTTCGCCGACGAATCGGGTTAAAAATTAACTCGGTACAAGAGAGGTCGGGGCGGATGGGGGGGGATGGTTTCGACCAGAATTATTTTTGCCGATTTTTAAACAAAACTAATTAAATTCTTTTGTGGAAAAACGAAGAGAAAAAATCAATGATGAGTAGCAGTTGGAGTTGTAATGATAGGGAAGAAAATGTTGAAAAAGATTTTGTTGGATTTAATATGTAGGAGAGCTAGAGGGGGAGGGGGAGAAAAGGGAAAGGGGAGTAAAAAAAAGAGAGAGAAAGAAAAAACGACGAAAGGCAACTGAGAGATTTTGAAAATAAGCGGATGTCATTAAAAAAAACTCGAGCGCAAAGTTTTCCACCTTGTTTTATTCAAAACGAACTCTGCGAACAATCAACTAAAATATTCAAAGGTACGCAAGCGTGAAAACAAAAATATTTTACGTATTATTAAATTTAATTTGCGTTTGCCAGAAACGTTTTCGAACGTGGGAATTCGGGGGGTGAGGTGGAGGTGAGAATGAGGAATGAGGAGAATGTGAAAGGAGAGAAAACGGGCGGGAAAAGGTCTCTCATCTCATCTCATCTCATCTCGTTTTTCTTTCCACCTCAAGATACTTTACTTTTCGCCCTAATAAGAAAGAAAAGGGGTTCATTTCAATAATAATAATAATAATAACAAGAGGGAATCCCCGCAGTTGTAAAATTTAAAACTTTAGTTAATCTTAATTTACAAACGTGGGCGCGTTTGCACGAACGTCGTTCAAAATCGTTTCCGCGTTTTCCTTCTTCTTCTTGTTTTTACCTTTTCCGAACAATCTACCACAATCTCTTTTCCAGAGCTTTTTTTTTTTTATTAACGGCCTTGTCGAAAGTTAAAAAAAATTAAATATGTGAGAGCTTTTCGTACGTGTTTTCAACGGAAATATAAAATTTAAATTCAAAAAACTTTATCGCGTATTCGGTTTTTAAATTGCGTCACATTCGCGAATGACGAATAAAAGAAAAAAAAACCGTTAATAAAATAATAATGATGATGATAATTGGGATGTGTGTTATTGCTTGCGTCGTTTTTAACCGCGTGTTTTTGCCTCAATTGATTTACGAAAACCATTATGAAATTTTATTACTATTATTATTATTAATATTGGAAATTATCGTTTGACGATGACGTTTTAAAATTAACAAAATTAAGTTAATGAATTACGGGGAAAATTCACGAAAGGTTTTTTGTTTTGTTTTTCTCGATTTTTCCGGGGGAAAAATTTTAATCTGGTAATTTTATCAACTCCCCCCCTTCAAATTTTTTTAAAAATTATTATTATTATTAATTATAATAATAATAAATTATTGTTTTAATTGATTTGATTAATGAGAAAAGGGAAAAGGAAATTTGTAGAGGATGAGTGGAGCGAGGAAAAAAAATTTTAACTTTTTTTGTTTTTTTTTTCCAGACTGTTTATTCAAGAGTCGCAAGAGTTTGTAAATACGACAAAGGTGGTCCACACAGACTCCGTGAAAGGTGGACGTCGTTTTTAAAATCCAGACTTAACTGTTCCGTTCCCGGAGATTTTCCATTTTATTTTAATGAAATTCGTAAGTTTTTCCTTTTTTTTACTACCGTCATTAACACGAATTTATTAGTTAGTTAAAAACATAGAAATTTTAATTATAATTCGAGCATTTGATGAACCGTTCGTTATTGTTTTCGGTGTGTGTGTGTGTGTGTGTGTGTGTTGAGGTTATGTTTGTGCGTGTGCGTGTGCTTGTTTCCTTGCTAGAGAGGAAGGGAGGGAGGGAGGGAGGGTTAACATATTTTGTTTCTAATTCGTTGACGTCGAATGGAATGTGTTTACATTGAATGAAAATAATTTTCGCGTTTTCGTTTTCGTTTTATTGTTGTTTTACGTATAAGTCGAGATTCCTTCTTTTCCTTATTGTGAAAAATTTTCAAATTTTCTAAACTGACTTTGCTGTTGTCTGTGGCACATTATGTCGAATTCAAAACAAAAAAATTACATTACCCGAAAGTCAAATTCGTGATTTTATGATTTAAGAATCGACGACGGATCTCATAGAGGGAACGTACGGCGGAATAAACGCTCAACTCATTTACGGCGTTTTCACGACTCCTCCAAACAGCATAAGCGGTTCCGCCGTGTGCGCGTTTTCCCTGGAAGACATAACGAAAACGTTCGAGGGAAGTTTCAAAGAACAAGAAAGTCTCACATCGAATTGGCTTCCCGTTTTAAATACAAAAGTGCCAGATCCGAGACCTGGACAATGCGTCAACGATTCCAGAACTCTACCTGATTTAACGTTAAATTTTGTAGAAAATCATTCGCTCATGGATGAATCCGTTCCGTCGTTTTTCAAACAGCCCATCGTTATAAGAGCCAATTTTCAGTGAGTAAAAAAGAAAAAAAATTTCGAATTCCTTTACATTATCGGACATAATTTCGCTGGAGAAAATTACAACGTGGCATGAAAATGCGTTCGTTTTCAGTTATCGATTCACTCAAATCGCCGTGGATCCTCAAGTTAAAACGCCCGGAGGTAAAGCATACGACGTTTTATTCATCGGAACGGATAATGGTAAAATTTTGAAAGCCATCAACGCGGATTCCGCCGACAGCACGGAACGCATAAGTTCGGTTGTCATAGAAGAAATTCAAGTTTTCCCATCGAACGTTCCAATTCGAAATTTAAAAGTCGTCAAAGATTCTTTCGTACCCGACGGAAGACTCATCATCGTGACGGATTCAGAAATCAAATCCATAAGACTTCACAGGTGTTACTCGGATAAAATTATTTCTTGCAGGTAATTAATAATAATAATAATAATAATAATAAATGCATTCATTCGACTAATCGATCTTTAAAAAAAAAAATGCGGGACTTGTTGCAAAAAGCCCCCTTTTTTTTCTTTATTGTATCGTGATGATGATGACGATGATTGCGTTCAATGCGATAGCGATGATAATTGTAACGTTTTTTTTTTTTTTTTTTTTTTAAATTAAATTAAAAACCTAAAATTCGTTTACCATTGTTGTGTTTAAGCCAGTAAAAATTAATTTTATATCGAACGCAAATTAAATTTTTGTTTAATTTAATTTAAATAGAAACGAAACGACTCGTGGTAGCCGGAAATAATTAAATTAAAAAGACTAAAAGTTTCATTTTAAAATTGCTTTTAGTTTACAGTCATTTTATAATTCGATTAAAATTATATTTATATTTCATCGTCATCGGAAAAGGGTGGAAGGGTGGGAAAGGAGGGAGAAAGGGAGAGTAAATAAAAAAATAATGATAATGATAAAAAATTTAATTTTTTTTATTGACAGATTAACGGTGTTTTTTTTTTGTTTTTCCTTTCAAATAGCGAATGCGTCGCTCTACAGGATCCTTATTGTGCTTGGGATAAACAAAGTCAAAAATGTCGCGCTTTCGGAGGTTCCAAATGGAACGATGAAAAATATTATTATCAGAGCGTCGCCACCGGAAGTCATCCGGCTTGTCCACAGAGTAAGAAAAATTTTTTTTTTATTTATTGCAAAAATTATTGTTTGATTGAGGGAATTGTTATGACCGATCGGTTTTTTTTTTTTTCGTCAAGGTAAAATTCATAGCGAAGCCGAAAGTGTTTCGTACGCCAAGTCTTTTAACACGGACCGCGGAAAAGATCTACAAAATGGCGAAGTTATAAATATAATGCAAGATGATCAGAGGAGTACCGGACCGGAAGTTAGCGCGGCGGATAGTCCGCTTCTTCAGTATTCTGTTGAAACGTTGGCAGTTGCCGTGATAGCCGGATCCGTTGTCGCATTGATTGTTGGTTTTATATCCGGTTATTTTTGCGGGAGAAAATGTCGGAAAGACGAAGATGATAATTTACCCTATCCCGATACGGAATATGAATATTTCGAACAGAGACAACACGTTAACAGGTATGTGTGTGTACCTTTTTTTTTAAGATGAATGAATTTGCGTGGGGGAAAAAGAAAATGAATAACTTTTCTTTTTCTTTTTTTTTTTTTGTCGAAAATCAGTCGAATGCCTTCCGCGCCGAAACTTTTACCGCAAGAGGAAGTTACTTATGCGGAACCCGTACTAGTTCCGGCTTCGAACAACGCTTTGCACTCACCGAAAAACACGTTGAGAAAGGCACACAATCCGAACAATGCGGAAACGCTTTTCCAATTTTCAGACAATTACACTCCACCATATGGACACCAACGCGGACGTGACAATTTTGGAACCCTCAAATCCGAAGGGTATCGAGGAGGAAGGAATCCGGACGGATTCGGAACGACGGGTCGATCCGTTAAAAAAGTGTACCTTTGAGAGACGAGCGGGGAGGACGCAAGGGGTCACCGGAGCTTGAGCCGACCCGCGAGGCAGAGGCATCGCGGGGGGGCCCCGCACCCCCTGGCTACTAGCTCGCCCCCTTCCTCAGCGTCGTCGTCCTCCCCTTCGCCCCCGTCATCCTCTCCGTCGCCACCGAACGGCACTCCACCTCCCTGTAGTTTTATATACCGCACTTAGCATTGAGTAGAAGCCGAGTCGTGGTTTCGTTTTATGAATTCCATTTACGAAAGGTGTCCTTAGTCATTTCATTACTTTTCTTTTTTTCTTCTTCAGAAAGTCGCTTTAAAAATAATAAACATAATAATAATAATAATTATTATTATTATTATTACTAAAAAAAAAAAAAAGTAAAAAAAGGAAAATATTTTGTTTTTTTTTTTTGTTAGAAATAAGGTTAGTGGGGCAAATTCAATACCGGACACTCGATAATAGATGATAAATAATAATAATAATAATTAAACTTTTTTCTATTTTTCAATTAGTCTTAGTTTAGTTTGTAAAATGTATAAATATTTCATTGTAATTAAGAAACAAAAAAAAAAAAGGAAACGTGTTGTTCACGTGTTAATAATTTTTTTTTTTCGAAAGAATCGAGGGCAAAGGGATGAGAGAAAAATTATATTATTATTATTATAAACATCACGTGGGAAAAATCAATTGCCGAATATTTATTAAGAAAAAAATATATACCGAATCGAAAAAAAAAACAACGGAAAAATGTTTAAAATGCGTGTAATTATGACGTCACAAAAATAATTAATTAATTAATTATTATCAATCAACAACAACATCACACCGCCATCATTTTTATAATTTACAAAAAATTATTATTATTATTATTACTATTAGTATTATTATTAAAATTTAAGTGCTTAAAAAAAAAAAAAGGATTGAGAGAAGAGATGAAAAAGAAGATGGGGAGGGTGGTGGGAGGGGTAGAATTTTTTTTTATTTAAAACGCGAAAATCTCATTATTTCTTATATTTAACAAAAAAAAAAAAGGGAAAAAAAGAAAAGAAAAGGAAAGAAATTATTATTACTCGTTTCCGGAAAAAATTTAAAATAAAAAAGTAATAATTAGTAATAATAATAATAATAATAATAATAATAATAATAATAATAATAATAATATTTTTAAATAAAAAAAGGTCGCGTAATTAATTACCGCGTTTTATTTATTACAATCACATCACGATAAGTCTTTGTAATTTTTTTTTGTTTTGTTTTTAATTCGTTATTCAAAAGAAAAAAAGAAAACAAACAAACAAACAGAGAAACGAAGGTAAACCGATAATTAATAATAATAATAATTTTTTTTTGTTAGTACTTAGTAAAGAATAAGAAAGAAAGAAAGATTTGGAAAATTGTCGGGTTTTTCTCAGAAAGAAATGAGCAGAAAACACTTATTCATCTTCCAACCACTTAATTAATAAATACATAAATTATTATTATTATTTTTTTATTTTTTTCGTTGTTGTTGTTGTTGTCGTTGTCGTCGTTTTTTTGCTTTTTCTTTTCTTTTCTTTTCTTTTCTTTTACGTCATTTTTCATATCACTTAAAAGCATGCGACTACAAATATTACATAAAAATCTCTCTGCACACTCACATACACACATATATATATATTTTTTATTTTTTTATTTTATATTATTATTATTATTATTTATTATTTTTTTTAGCCCAAAGACTGAATTATTTGTATTTAATTAATTAATTAATAATGATAATAATAATATATATATGCGAATATACTTAGGGTAAAAAGCAAAACAAAAAATAAAAATTTATTTATTTATTTACGTTATATTCATTTTTTTATTTTTTTTATAATTTTTTTTTTTCGTTAGTTGTCGTGGTAGTAGTAGTAGTGGTAGTGGTAGTAGTTGTAGTAAAAGTAGTAATAGTAGTCGTAGTCGCGAGTATTTTTTACGATTATTATTATTATTATTATCATAATTTGTCATTTTTCATGTTTTTTTCTTTTTTTTTTTTTTAACACTTTAGTATGGCTAGAATTTATCTGAGTCTCTCTCTCTCTCTCTCTCTCTCTCTCTCTTTTTTGTATTGTATGGTTTGTTTAACGTTTTAAGCGTATGTAATAATAATAATAATAATTTAATTCTCGTGGATTTTTAATTATTTTCGTTTGTTTGTCTGTTTGTTTGTTTGTTTGATTTTTTTTTTAAAGAGAGAAAAAGAAAGGAAAAATGTCAAATCACCACCACGAACGCGTTATTATTATTATTAATTTTTTTTTCTTCTAAATTTAAAACGTTCGTTCGTTTGTTCATTCATTCATTCATTTATTCATTCATTCGTTCGTTCGTTATTCTTTTTTTTACGATTTGATAAGTCTTATCGGTCACAAATTAAATTTTATGTTAGACGCGAACAAAATCGTCATCGTTACTTTTTTATTTTCTTTTTTTTCCTTTCTTTTTATTATTAATTGATTAATTTAAAATGATTAATTAGTCAGGCTGAAAACCAAAGGTATCGAATATAGGTAGGAAAAAAAAAAAGAAAAAAAAGTCACGTGTTGCGTGCCACGTGTGTGATTCGTGGAATAAGAAAAAGTTTTTTTATTACTCATGATAAATATTTATTATTACTTTGGCGGCGGATGCCAAAAAATTTTCTTTGCGGTTATCAAACGTGAAAAAAAAAAAAAAAATTATATAATATTGTAAATAGGAGTAATGATAATGATAATAATAATAATTATAATAATAAATAATTAAAAAATGTAAAAAAAAAAAAAAAATTTAGCGTCGTAGATGTAATGAAGAAAAAAAAAAAAAACTTCCAAATTTTCTGTTGTAGTTAACAAAAAAAAAAAAAAAATTAAAAACAATTTCGGGGGTTACAAAATAAATAAATAAATAAAATTTCTAACTTTTGCACTATTTAATAGTTTATTATTAATAATAAATAAATCATTTATTATTATTATTATTTATAAATAAATAATTTATAAGAATAAAAAAATTTGTGAAATACAAACAAAAGAAAGAAAAAAAAATTACTTAATTTTAATTATTTATATATTATTATTATTATTATTATTATTATTATTATTATTATTATCATCTGTATGAATCATTATTAATTATAATTTGGCGTAAAATTTATAAAAATTTAAATAAATAATAATAATGATAATGATAAATTTATTATTAAACAAAAAACAAAAAAAAAAGTGCTCTTAAAGTATTTGGCACAATTATTTATTATATTTTGATTTTTATTTTTAAACCCGTTAACCCGGTTTTTTCATTTGTTTGTTTGTTTGTTTGTTTGTATTAATTTTTTCCAAACGGTTTTATTGATGATTTAAAAAATTTTCGATTTTTTTTCTTTGTAAACAAATAACGCAACAACAACAACAACAACTAAAAAAATTGTAATTCTATTTATATATATATTGAAAATCGTTAATTGCAGTTTTTATTTGTATTATTATTATTATTTGTAATTGACGATTAAAAAGTATTAATAATAATAAATAAATAAATAAATGTCTGGGGTGCCATATTGAAAAGAAAAAAAGAAGGAAAAATGCTCATTCGCGATTATTTTAATTTTTATTTATTTAAATTTATTTATAAAAAAATTAATTAATTAAATTAAATGGCAGTGCCTGGTGAAAATTTTTTAACCATTTTTTGTTTTTGGAAAATTTTGGAAAATGAAAAGAAAAAGTCGTAAAGGTGGATGACGACAAGGAAGAAGGTTGTGGAAAAAAAAAAAAAGGAAAATAATTTTTTTTTTTTTTTTAAAGGATTCTTTATTATTATTATTATTAGTAATGTTTACGACAAATGTGAAAATGTTGCATTTTTGTTTAAGAAAAATAATAATAATAATAATAAAACAAATCGAGCCTGGATATTTTTTTTTGGTCCAGGACGTTTAAAAAGAAAAAATTGTAAAAAAAATAAAAATTTTTATTTATTTATTTATTTATTTTTTTGTTTAAAAAAACAATTTTGGTGTCGATCGACGATTGTATTTGTAATTATTATCATTATTATTATTATTATTTAAATCGCTTTTGATATTCGCGAAAAAAACAAAAAAATAATAATAATAACGTTAGAATATTTTTCTTTTTTATTTCGGGGGTCGTCTTCCAATTGAAATACAAAAAAAAAATTTTTTTTGTTTGTTTTATGTTTGTTTGTTTTACGTGTTTGTTTTTTTGTTTTTTTTACTTAAATAAATAAATTTTCATCGTCAATTAAATTTCTAACTTTTTTATTTTAGAAAAAATAATCGTCGATCGATCGATGAAAAAAAAATAAAAACAACCGACAAACAAATTTTTGTAAAAAAAAAAAAAATTTTTTTGTAAATTAAACACTAAACGCTCTCTCTCTCTTTTTCTCTCTCTATCTCTTTCTCTTTCTATCTTTTTCTATTTTGTAAAATTTGCTTCTTTCTATTTAATTAATATTTAATAGTAATAATTGAGTGCCGAAAAAAAAATTAATTATTAATTATTATTATTATAAAAAAAAATGGTTATGTACAATCGGCAAAACGAAATTTTTTCTTCTTATTTATTTATTTATTTTTTTTCAAATAGAAATCGTAGAATAACAATTATTATTATTATTATTATTATCATTAATTATAAATTTACGTATATACATATATATATTTAAAATAATGATAATATTTTTTAGGTAAAAAAAAAAAAGAGAAAAAAAAAATTGTATCACTTACATTAAAAAAATAAAAAAAGTAGAAACAAACAAACAAACAAACAAATAAATTAATTAAAAGTCCACACAAACAGAAACAAACACACACTTATCGACGAGTCCATTTCCATTTAATTTTTATCACCACGTGCACAAAAAATTTTTTTTTTTTTTTAATTAAAAAAAACAAGCAATAAGTAATTTTTTAATTATTATTATTATTTATTATTTATTACTTATTATTATTATTATTATTATTAATTTATTACTCACGAGTAATTTTTTTTTTTTTTTGATTTAATTACAAATTTTTCGAAGTGTGCGAGACGAGTTTTTTTTTTTTTTAATGTGTTGTAAATAAAAATTTCACGTTTAAATTATTATTATTATTTTTATAATCCGTGCGTTAAAATGTTTAACCGAATCAATTAATAATAATAATAAT